ATCAACTAAACTCAATATGAACACTAGCTTAATAAAATGATAATCAAACAATATAAACTATAAAGCTAGATTGAGTTTAGAAAACTTCTCAATAGATCAAGAGTGGAAGGAGAAGAGTTGGATGCTCCAACACCAATAGATGATCTCCTCAAGCTCTTGTGAAATTGATTTCACAAACTTAAACTCTCAAATGCTTAAAAGAAGCTCTTGTGAAATTGATTTCACAAACTTAAACTCTCAAATGCTTAAAAGCTTCTTAAACAAACTTAAACAATACTTCAACCATTGTTAAAACTTTTTTAAAACATTTCTTAGGTTGTCATGAGAACTAAGATCAATGTGGTATTTATAGCCTCCCAAAACCTCAGCGAAAAGCCCAACAGAAATGACCAAAAAATCAACAGAATCAAAAATCAGATTCTATACAAAATGACCGTTGGAGTGAACAACGGTCAACCGTGAAAATCTCGCGGTCGACCGCGAGCCACTTTCGAGGCTCAGAAAATTCCAGAAACTTTGACGGTCGACCGTGGCGGTCGACCGTGGGAATTTTCGAGCTGACGGTCGACCTGGCGGTCGCGCGGTCGATCGTGGCGGTCGACCGTAAACTGACATATGAGAAAACATGTTTGAAAGTTAATTTTCTGATTTTAAAACCCTGTTTAAAAATATCAAATAAATTTCAAAAATATAAAACATTAGGGAATGATTGTAGACATGATAATAAACATGCTACAAAGACTGGTTTTCAAAATGAACCTCCCAAATAAAAAATATCATCATTTTACAAAATAGTCCAAAACATGAAAATGTGAATAAACGAGTTTTGATATTTTAGCTTAACCATATTTTAAAACAATACAAAATGATTTTATAGACTTAATAAAAGATGTAAACTATTGTTATGAAGTATATAAATAATGAATATAGTATTTTATCAAAATACACATATAATGCACTAAAACATGATTTCATTGAACTGAATAAAATTGATATTGATGAAATCATATATATGCATGTAAGTATGAAACACAAATATGTTTTTTAATTATATTTAATTGTTTCATAGTAAAACTTGAAAACTATCAAACCAAAACATATATGTATATATATAACTATATATTTACATGGAAACCAATAAATGTGTGTGTGCATATTATATTGAGCTTAAGGTACTAACACATATAATATAAACCCCTAAACTAAATTACCCAAGCTTGATCTTGATCTTCAATAGCTTGACTTGATAATCTTGCGGATGAAGCTTGAACTTGGATCTTCAACTTAAATTGTACATAGCTTCACCTACTATTCCGCCAACATCATCAAAACAAGAAGGCCAACATATACATATTTTATACATATATAAGAGAGAGTATACTTATATATACTTATACATATATTAAGAAAGATCATACTTATACATATATATACTGATATAAAAGAGAGTATACTTATATAAGAGAGAGTATATTTATATATACTTATATACTAAGAGAGAGTATATATATATATACGGCGACGGCGAGCTTACGACGACGAGAAGGGGACTTTGGGTTTTCCGATTAGGGCGAAATGGGGGAAATGAGGAAGAGAGAGGAACGGGGTTACATTTGGGGGCTGTTGAAAGGATATTATGGGAATTTTACTATGTTTTTGTATAAATACATATGTCTACATTTACTGTATTTTGTAATTTGGGCTTAAAGATAAATACCCAAAGATCTTTGGGTTTATGGATACATGAAATAGTAAATGGCTTTATAGGTAAAGATGGGTAATCATTTATGGATATCATATATACATATATTATATATATACATATATTATACATGTAAAAAAATAAAAATTTAAAAAATAAAAAAAGTTACTATTTCGAGCCGGGCCCGGTCGCCGATGATCGGGCCCGATTTTGGCCCGGATTTCTGGGCCGACCTCGGGCCGAGCCCAGGCCGCGGGCTTTTTGGACACCCCTGACCTGGGTAATTTAGTCATACCTAAATAAAAATATTAAACTACAAGCAAAAACAATATACTAGGTGTATTTCCTGATGATGTTAAGGGAGAGGTAGATTTATCAAATGTTGGAGATTTTGAGATAAAGTAAGAAATATCAAGATTTTGAGGATAAATTTGCAAATATAGATTATTTCGGAGCTACATAAACAAATAATATTTATGTTATCTCAAAAAATTTGTATCTAAGTCATTTTAAATCACAAACCGTCACTTTTTTCTGAATCTTCATGTATAAGGAAAGAGTAAAAGAAAGAAAGTAGAGATCTTTGACCATCATCAATCATCTTTATTCGTCATCGGTCATGCTCCAAAATACCTAGGGGTGTCCATTCGGGCCTAAGGTCCCGGCCCGGCCTGGA